CAATGTTTTGAACTTTTAAAATATTGCATGGGAAAAACAGAAGCTGCTCTTCATATTAGTGACAAACTTTGGTGTTTTTGATGAGTTACTTTCATTTTTGCTTCTACTTTTCATTTAAAATAAGTTTCCATTCTCAGCAGGTTTCTAAGGTTCTTCTTCTACTTATTAAAAAGTTGTTAAACAACTGAGTGGTGCACTACTGCTACTAGTGGTGAGAAAGTGTATTGCACCTTATTTAAAATCAATGCTGTCCCGCTGCCCTCTACGGCTCAAAGTTAAAAACTGTTCTTTTGAGGCCCTGGGCTGCGGCCCATGGGTTAAGAATCACTGGTGTAGACTACCCATTCAGTGATGTATCTCACAGCGGGGGGTTCCCAGGAGCTTGGCTCGTTGTATCACAGACCTGACTGACCTGTATCACTGACTTTATCACTTTCAAAGTGTACTCCAGTAGATTAAATCATAAAAGTGGGGCAACTGCCAAGGTGGGCACTGAAATAAAATGCGCAGACTAGCAGTTTAGCTAGTCCTGCACATGCTAATAAACTTTGATTTTCAAAACTGATCTGCTCAAATTTGGCTGTGTGGCAAACACACAGAATTCAGTGAGACTGCAGAGACACTGATATCTGCTCTTAATCACAGAGCAGCACAGTGCTGCATTTCGTCTCTTTTTCTTACCGGGGAGGTTTTACTGCTTTGCTTTGCAGAAGACGGCCAAGAGAAAGAAAGCAGCAGAAACAGCAGAGGAAAGTGACGACGATGACGATGGAAGTCCCATCAAGAAAAAAAGAGCTCCAAAGAAAAAAGGTGGGCCTCCTCTCCTCCAAACACAAGCTCTTTACTTGTGCTGCAAACACCTAAAGCAGACGTTTGCAACCTCATCCAGTGTGTCAAAAGGTTTAGAGCCGTTTAACTCGCCACACTTGTCTCCTGCAGAAGTTAATGGAGTGAAGAAAAGTCCCAAAGCTGCTCCGAGACCCCGAAAAGCTCCAGTGGCTGGAAAACGGGGACGTGGGGACCCCAAATCTAGACTGGTGGAGATGGGCACCCAGACGTCCCCTGGACTCGCCCAGAACTCCAGAGGAAGGAAGAAAGCCGCTTCGTAAAGACCGACTTGTTTGTGCACTCCTTTGTTTTGTTGTTTTAGTTTGTTCAACCGATTGTGTATCTGGGATGTTTGTCTGTAAAACCTGTTTGAAATAAAGAGGAAATTCTCATTTCTTTGCTTCTGCCTCAACATTTTTCTTTCAGAGTGAAGAGAAAAGACAAGTTAAACCACTTGCTTAGTAACTTTTATCATCATTTCATTGGTGGATTTAAAAAAATAAACGTTCCAGTTTAAAGGTTACCAGCACTGATGGATAAATTCTATGTGTTGCACCTAAAATTAAAATGTCCGTGCATGAACTTTTGCAAACATTTTAGAGGATGATGAGTTTAGATTGTAAACTGAGGATCTTTGATGAAGACGTCACAGAGGTGACAGGATGAAGATCACATCTTTGTTAAAACGTTTCATATTTGGCAGAAAGACGTCAGAAACTGGTGTCAGGTCATCAGACACCAGCGTGCACGAGAACATTCCCCACTTCAGACGCTGCTGACAAGCTGTCCACCTCCCCTCCCCACCGTATCCGTCCCTGTCCTTGAGCCCCTCCTTCCTCATTAACTCCCAACAGGCTCCCTCCCTCCCCATGGAGGAAGACATCTCCACTAATGTTGGTGGTGTGAGGGCCCTCGGGGGGGCCCTGTGGTGGCTGGTGGCTTGCTATTGATTGTCGCAGCCTCCTCAGGAGTAAAAAGCCCCCCCTCCCTCACATTGACCTGATGGGCTCTGCAGCCGTGGGCCCACAGCAGGGGTAGTAGTACATAATGATAGCAAATGGATGTGGGAGGGGGGGAGTGGAGGTGAGGGAAGGGCCGTCGCTCTCAGAGAGGTGAGCGTTTCAGCTTGCTCGTCTTACCTGAGCGTCCTCTGTGGTCGGCCTCCGATYGGACAGCCAGCGGAGCGTGAACGTCTCGCAGCAGTCGACTAACCGCCGCTCCCATGATACCAACCCGCCAGCCCCCCTCCCCAGGACAGCAAGCCGAGAACTCAATAACACTTTCCCCCGACCAGTGGGTTTCCTGTTTGGGACAATTGTCAGTGTTTTTTTTTTTTCTTTCTATTTGTGGGGGTCCAAAAATCTCAAACTAAACTGAGGCTGGAATGTTTGCGCCTGTGCGGGACATGACCAACTTCGTTAATGATTTGTCAACAGTCAAAGGCAGSTGAGAGACATTTAGGTGAACTGATTGGTGAAAGTACCTCATGATTCACAACCAAAAAAAGAGGAAAGCTGCGAGTGTTCCCTGGAGGTCAGACCATGTAGTGCTCGGAGAAAGGACAAAAAAAAAAAAAAATGAACCCAAAAGTGCCATGTCAGACTGCACAGGCCTCAGTTAGCGAGTTAAAGGTTAAAGCTCATGACAATACAATAATAATACTGAAAAAGTGTGGCTTTTGGAAGAGTTGCAATTATCTTAAAGAAAACACAGCTGCACGACTTAAATTTGTAAATTTTTAAGTGTTGTGAAGTGTCAGCATGGTAGCAGGAAGCTGATGGGTTGGAGTCCCTGACATAAACTCACAGCCTTAAAAACAAGTTATTAGCCTTGCATTGCATCACAGAAAAAGCACACAAGATTTATATTAGGGATGCATGATATATCAGCAATCATGTCAGTATCGGCTGATGTTGGTCATTTTTTAGAATGTCTACTGGTTTGATAAGTAAAACTGCCGATATTAATGTCCGATATTGATTTCCCACTTTTGGGATGGTTGGTTAGTTTGTGTTATGTTGGTAAATATCGGTTATCGGCCATAGCAGCAATAATAATATCGATATCAGCTGAAACTTTCAAATTGGTGCATCCCTAATTTATCTAACCAAGTGTTATTCATTTAGTCCAGGGGTTCTCAAGCCATTTGGGTCTGGGGACCACTTACATGGGCGAAAAAATTTCCAGGGACCCCCTAATAAATCCCTATATATACTATATATAGG